AACCATTTATATAGCCCTCGGTTTCCATTTAAGGTAGGCCTTGGCAAAGTCACTTACTTTTCCATTGGAATTATTATGCCTCACAGGATTATTTGTTATAAATAGAGAAAATAAATAAAATACTGCAGCGCTCTGCCTGCAATGTATTAAGCATTCAAAGAAAAAAAGGTTGATGTTGTAAGCAAAGGAGTGCTTGAGAAAATCCAAGGCTCATTTACTCAGAATGAACTTGAACATCTATGTGTCAGAAACCCTGGGGGATCCAGGGGAGGTAGAAAGGTTCACAAGGTTAGAGCCCTTGGATTGCTTATAGGACCCTGGGGAGAGGTATTTTCAGATAGGCATATAATAATTATAAATTAGACATTGGAGAATTGTGGGGTGGTATAATATAGCAATAAACTGTTGTAGGATAGCAGAAGAGGGAAAATGCTTTAACTTGGGAGGGACTCTGTATTGGAAAAGGAAAGAAATGGGTAGATATCAACTTCCCAGTGGAGACGCTATGATGCTGGGTGAGTCAGGGACTGCACTTGACTTTTCCCTTCTTTGCATTATCAATGTGTACACCTGTGTTTTGTTTTCCCAATAAGCAAATAAACATGCTATCACTTCTTCCATTTAAAATTTGTCACTCCTCTCCAGAATCCTCTTTATGGATCTTTCCTCTATCTACCTCTGTTCCCTTGCAGATACTTAACTTCAAATATTGTCGATATGCAGGCAATGCCCAAGTGAATTCCACATTCATATTTTAAATTAAATAGTCAATATATAGCAGATATCTCAAAGTTAATGTGTCCCAAACCGATCTCCTGATTTTCCCCCCAGATCTGCTTCACCCATAGCCTTTCCCATCTAAGCTAACAGCAACTTTGTCCTTCTGATTATTCATGGCAAGACCAATGATTATCAGTTTTAACTCTCTTTCTCTTAGCAGCTATGTATAATTCGTCAGCAAATCATGTTGACTCTGTCTTCAAAAATGTTCATAATCTTTTATCCTGTCTATATTTAATAATTTAGTAAGGATTTAATAATTTAAAGATTGAATAACCCCTTTGCTTATATATGTTTAGCTTTCTATATAGTCCGTCTCTAATTTCTCCCCCAAATGCTGACATCTTTGCAACATACATATCTATAAGTTTTTTAAATTTATTTTTTAATATGTCCTAGTGTAATGAGTACATTTGTACGGGCCCACCTTCTCAGAGGGTTCCACCCTTTGGATCTACTCTGGACCAGTGGCCCTCTGTGTCTCCTGCTCAGCCATTAGCCTGACACTTCCCACATACTTCTGAATCTTCATCCCATTTATCCCATGCTTGAATTGTTGCTATTGTTTGTTTACTTAAAAAATTTTCTTTGGTGTTTATTTAGTTTTGAGAGAAAGAAAGAGACAGAGCATGAGTGGGGGAGGTGCAGAGAGAGAAAGGGAGACACAGAATCTGAAGCAGGCTCCAGGCTCTGAGCTGTCAGCACAGAGTCCTACGTGGGGCTTGAACTCATGAACCGTGAGATCATGACCTGAGCTGAAGTCAGATGCTCAATCAACTGAGCCATCCAGGCACCCTTGTTTGTTTACTTTTTTTTTTTTTATCTGCTGGTGTCATATCTCCATGGTTTTCTAAGAGAGGAAGTTATATTTTTAAATCCTTCCATATCTGAAAAGTATCAGGATTCTTTCCTCACTTGTAACTGATAGTTTGACGTGGTATTGAATTATAGGTTGGCAAATAAGTTTACTCATACTTTGGAAGTTATGATTTAGTGTACTGGTAACTATAACATTGTAGAACACTTCAGTAATATTCTATATTTATTTTATGTGGGATGATTGTTTTCTAGGTATTTTTGTGCCTTTTGCATCTGTGCCTTTTGTTTGAATGCTTTCTGGGATTCTACCAGTTATTGTCCTCCCTTCCCCTACCATTAATTTTGCTAGCACATGGTGAGGCCCCCCCCCCTTTTAAATAATATATCTTTATTTTGAGACAGAGTAGAGGAAGGACAGTGAGAGGGAGAATGAAAGAGAATCCCAAGCAGGCTCCACCCTGTTAGCGTGAAGCCCAGTTAGGGGCTTGAACTCTCAAACAGTGAGATCATGAATTGAGCTGAAATCAGGAGTCCAAGGTTGAGCAGCAGACTCTTAATTTCACTTCATGTCATGATTTCATGGTTGGTGAGATGAAGGGTTGTGAGATCAAGCCCTGTGTGTCGGGCTCTGTGTTGACAATGTGAAGCCTGCTTTGTATTCTCTCTCTACCCCTCCCCTGCTGGCACACTATCTCAAAATATAAAAATAAACTTAAAAGAAGAAGAAGAATTGGATGCTTAGCCGACCAAGCCACACAGGTGCCCCGCCCCTGGTTGAGTCCCTTTAAACTGTCATTTCATGTCTGGAAAAAATGTTTACTTTGTATTCTTTGGTAATTCCCAGCCCCCCCCTTTTTTCCCTATTTTTTTGTCCTTCTGGAAATGTTCTATTTTTACTTGTTTTTCATCTCTATTGTTATTATTCTTTCTGAAGAATTTTCTTCACTTTCTCTTCAAGTCTTCTCTTTGAGATATTATTTTGCCTACTGTATTTTTAATATTCAAAATTTCTTTCCTTTACAGATTGCTTCTTTCTTAAGGCTTTTTATTTTTTAGATTTTTATGTGAATATAGATTTTACCTTATCTTTCTAGGGATAACAATTACAGGAGTATATTTTACTTTCTTATTTATTTTTACTAAAGTAGAGTTGACATACAATGTTAAAGTGTAGAGCATAATGATTTGACAACTCTCTATGTTACACTATGCTCCCCACAAATATAGTTACCATCTGTCACAATACAACACTATTTTAATACCATGGACTCTGTTCTGTACATTGTACCTTTCATCCCTGTGACTTTTTAGCGTTGTATTATTCAATTGGTGGAAGCATTCTACCAAAGAGAATGGAAACAGAAAAGTGTTATATCTGACTTTTTGGAAGTGTGCTTTTAAGGAGAGAAGCACAGCCTTCTGTCTTTCTACCTTTTGGTGGAGAGGAATTGGTCTTCAAGGATGTGTAGATTTATATGTCAACATATAAACAAAACTGGGTTCTACAGAATTATATTTATATTTTCAGATGAATTTTGAGAGACAGATTAAAATGAAAACTTTTCATAAAGCTTTTATCACTTACTTTGAAACCACATTTTAACCACATAGCTCACTTAAAGAAGATATAATTTATATGTATTATGCAAACTTTTAAGTTAAAGAAATGGTGTTAAAATCATATTATTTGCAGGAAAGCATGTAATCAGGGGGCTATTAGATTTTCATGGCTGTATATAACACATACTCAACAAAAAATGCCACTTACTTTTGCAGGCCACATCCACTCTCTGTTGTGAATAATTATCTGGATTCCATGGGGCTGGGTGAGAGTGGGGGAAGGGAACATGGGTACAAAGAAATAATTCAGGGTTTTATACATCTTTCTGGACCTATATGCATCTTTGATATTGAGGTTCCTTATTCTCTACAACTACAGCTGGTGCATGTATCAACCTCGATTTTTCACAGTATTAAACATTTTGATATCAATTATTTTATCTTTACAGAATGAGTCCAGTGAGTCCCTATATCTCAGATGAGGGAGCATGAAGCAGGGATATATTTCTTTAAATTCTTCAATTAAAAACGCTTCTCTACATTTTTGCAACTGAATCCCAACCTGATCTCTCTTTTTTTTAAATGTTTATTTATTTATTTTGAGAAACAGAAAGAGAGAGTATGTATGCACATTAGGGGAGGAGCCGAGAGAGAGGAGAGATAGAGAGAGAGAATCCCAAGCAGGATCCGCAATGTCAGTGCAGAGCCAGATGCAGGGCTCGATCCCATGAACCCTGAGATCATGACCTCAGATGCTTAACCCACTGAGCCACTCAGATGCCCCCCAACCTGATCTTTTTTAATGTACCTGAAATTAAAGGTAAATCAAATCATGCCTGTCTACACGTAGGTTATTCCCTGTGTGATAACCCAGTCCCCAAGTGTAGATTCAGTTCATGTAAAAGAAAATCAGGGAGAAATGCCAGTGACTTTATAAGAGATTTGATTTGATGTCTACATTGGCATATTTTTCAAGTCCTTAAGTTATTTAAAAATGTCTCATATTATTTTCCCTCAGGGAAAGTTTAGGCTCTTATTTACCTTTTTTTTTTTTTAAACCAACAGTCTTATTTATGTAGGTAGGAGATAAGCATTATATATTTTGTGCATTTCATTCTGAAATAGCAGCTTGAAGAAGAAAACTACTTTTTTTCAGCTGTTATTTTGCTTGACATTACTCTGAAACAAATAACTATTTTTGCATTTTTTACCACAATATAAATCAGCTAAATATACTTAAGGTGACTAAGCCATGTTACAAATGCACCATAAATATACTGAAATATTCCTAAAAACAGAATTGTATTTAAAAAAAGTTATCAGGGTCAATATCAATAGGCACAAATGGTTCTATTAACAAAGAATCTTATTTTGAATGCTGTTGAGACCCTGACGGGATGATATTATAGAAAGATCTGTCCTTAATTTAAGCACCTGGCACGTATCAAGCAAGTTTGGGTCAACGAGACAGTAGATGAGGGGAAAATAATAGATGAGAGGTAAAATTGTGAGACTAAATTAACTGCTGGCTCTTTCCTATTTTCAATCTCCACATGACTATATTTTGATTTCTTTATATGGTACTTAGTGCTTAATTCCACATTTCCCTTTGAGTCACATACTACTGGCTTCTTCGGGGTTTATTTTCATTCAGTTCTATATATTCACCCTGCTGAAGCTTCCCATGTTTTGTGTCAGGAGGAAAAGTACCTTATTACCTTCTTGTCTGTTTAAAGTTTTTTTTCCCCCCTCCCTCCCTCCCTCCCTGTCTTGTACCTAATGAGCAAATTATCTAAAAATAGATACGTTCATCATTCTACAAAATGTTGTATCTTCTCTAGATTGGAGGCCAGTGTAATTGTAAGAGACATGTGTCTGGCAGACAGTGCAGTCAGTGCCAGAATGGATTCTACAATCTACAAGAGTTGGATCCTGATGGCTGCAGTCCCTGTAACTGTAATACCTCTGGGACAGTGGATGGAGATATTACCTGTCACCAAAATTCAGGCCAGTGCAAGTGCAAAGCAAATGTTATTGGTATGTGTAATGCAAAAGTTTACAGTCACGTCTCTATTACCATCTGGAATAAAAATCTCTATTTGATTTCTTAACTGAAGAGTAAAGCAAGTTTCCTTGCTCAAGGCAGGCTGGGGGAAAAAAAACAATTTGGATGAAATTAACTGTCTAAAAATGATTAAATTAATAATTCTATCAAGCTACAGCTTGAAGCTTAGTTTAATCAACCCTTTAGAAGTTTCTTTATTCTGTAGATGCATTAGTTCACATGGTCCCATACTAATAAGTCATAGAAAAATATAATTTGCTTACTGCATAGATGTTTCTTTTAGAAAATTAGCACTTTTTCAAAATGTTTTACACTTAATGAGTTCTAAGCAAATCATTTCCATGCTAGTTTTCTTAATAGACCAAAATAAATGGATTTTTTCAAAATATTCTGTGCTACAGGGTCCTTTGTGATAAATCTTTCCATTTTTTTCTATTATATTTCTTTGAACTGTTCCTATGAAATGCAAAATAAGTCAACATAATTCCACAGATCATGTATATTGGTAGGGTTAGTTATAAAGGGCCACATAATTTTAATTTTGTATTTCAGCACCAAGCTGATTATAGTAAACAGCCACCTTCGGTGTTATTTATCATTTTTTTATACAAGACGTGCTTTTTTGTTTGTTACTCCCACAGGTATTTTTCAGAAATTAGATTTGATTATAGCAATTTATTACATCCAGCATTTTTGAGGGGAACCACAGCCACATAAGGACAAAATTTATCAAGAGCCCAAAATGCACTATGTACATAATGCATTTTGAAATGTTGATATATGAGAATATTATGAGAGGAAAGTTTCCTGATGACGTGAGTCTTGTATTTTAACTGAACATGTCTTGGTTCATATAGGAAGTTTAAAAAAGACCTCTACCTTTCTATTGTCATTCAAGACGCCAAGTCTTCCGTGGTTTTCCTAACACTAACCTGAGCCTTATAATAATGAAAACATACCTGGCAGTCACACACACACACACACACACACACACACAGTCACACAGTCACACTCACACACTCACACACTCACACACAAATGCATATATATGTATACACATACAGATGAACATATTCTGGATAACATTTTCATTTCTGTACTGTAATTCGAAAGCTAATTCTTTATCTTTTAGATAGGTAGTGATACATACCACATTTTATACAATTCAGCCAGACAAACATTTCATTTTAATTTAATTAAAAAATATAGACATGGTTAATGATATGACACAAAATTTTTCTGTTTTAAAGAAAGATTACATCAAATCTTTAACATGCCCTTATGCATTTCAGGCATACAAAAACTAACTTTTTTAGAAAAAAAGAATAGGTAACTTGTAAAGAGAAGCATATATTTTTATAAGTGCTCTCTGTGATGCTAAATGAATTCCAAGACTTTTGAATTCAATCTGTGTGTTATCCTTTGTTCTTTAATATGATATATATCTTAAATACATGATCTGAAAGCAAAAGTTAAAGAAAGATCTTTAAAGACAATGTTTGTTTTTCTATAACAATGGAATCTTCCTATGATAGTTAGATTCCAGAGCTCAAAGAAGGAAGGAAAAATCAAAATTTACAATTTACTTAGAATGTGTTATGACCTCCCTGCCATTTCTTTGTTTTATTGATCTAGATAGTATTCTGGGGGAAAGTGTATATATTTTTGAAGATTAAATCATGATTTTGATATTATTATTTCTAGAGTTATTTCTACACATGCAGAATTTTTGATAAAAACAAAATATACCTATGTTTCTTTCCCTAATGGGATTAGCAAACGCCCTTACTCAATTTTACCTTGTTACTCTGAAGAAAAGCAGAAAATACCAATGTATGTTGTATATGCTTTGGAAAGCAAACTGTTAGAGTTAACAAAACTGTTAAATCTTACTAATGGTTCTATCACCAGTAAAATACATTAGCACCAATAATTTTATTAAAGTAGGTCATTCATCTAGAATAAAAAGGGAGAAGAATGTGAATTAAATGCCAAGTGGGCTAACTTGCCTGTACTTGTTAACACCGAATGTGATGCCCTGTAGGCCTTCCTGAGTATCGTTAGGAATAGATTGCCTGTCAGGAATATGTATGGCATATTCAAATAAGCACTGCGCATATTTTTAAAACTGATATGATATGAATCCATGTAGACCAATTTTAAAAGTTCAAAATGAGTCATAATTCTTGTTAACAATACAGTTATTTTTAAAATTTGCAGCAATAGTGGTCCTTTTTTATTTTCCTTATTGAAATTAAATGATATGCCTTAGGTGAGTCATTCATCACTGTTAAAGAACTTGCCTTCCATTGGAGTTCTTGAATTTTTATCCATATATATACATATCTATTATGCATTTCCTTCCAGTTTAAGAAATGCTTTTCTAAATATGAGTTCCTGAGTGTGTTTTTGACTGCTGTTTTAGGACTATATTTTTTTATTGCGATCATAGCTTGAAATAAATGTTTCAATTGATTCAACCCCACGTAGTCAGTTACTTAAACTCACAGAGATGTGAAAACTATCTAAAGGAAGTATTTTGCATCTCAACCTTTGCTATTCACAAATTTTTCTTTTATTCTTTCTCCTTCTAATGCTCTTCCTGAAACTAACCTAAGTTGTCAGAGTTTTAGGTTTGATCATATAACATTGTTCTCTGTTTGCGAAATGGGCATATGCAATACTCCTTTAAATAGAAGTAATATCACAGCAAAATTTACTTAGTGTTTAAAGAGGAATGTTCTGAATCACACAATATGACAAGCAATATGATTGCTTTATGAGCCAAGGAGAGCATAATTTATATTAATTGAAAATACTAAAATATAGGGGCATATAAAAGCATTGAAATAAAAATTGCTCTGGATAAGTTTTATTTATATTAATTATTTAAAGGTGTGATGTCCAGAAGTATATATACTGTTACACAAAATAGCTATCAGCTTACATTTTATTAAATATTGTAGGAGCATCTGATTTTTAAGAAGTCACTAATGTAATAAATAATTATTCTGAGTAGCTTTGACGTTTTATTTCACTGTCTACCATACTTTTTCATGAGCATTTTTAAAAAATTATTTAAAATAAAAGTTTTAACATTTGTTAAAGAGAAAAGGAGCTCCAGTATGTGTAACAGAAGCAACATTTGCACTAAGCATTTCTCTTTGTGTTGAGTCATAAAATGTCATAAATCACTTATTTCTGAAAAAATAAAGTTGCATATCACTGCCATAGTAAGTATTGTTATTATATTTCGAATATACACTGGGCCTCTATGGCATTACCTGTGAGGCAACGCTCAACATTTTGAGTCTGCATTAAATGTTGGCAGCAGCATTGTTTGCCTTAAAAGCTCGAATAGCATCGTTTTCACTTTTTTAAACAAATTCTCTCCTCAGGGCTTATATGTGATCATTGCAATTTTGGATTTAAATTTCTCCGAAATGATAACGATGATGGATGTGAGCCCTGCCAGTGTAACCTCCACGGCTCAGTGCACAAGATCTGCGATCCTCTCTCTGGGCAGTGTGAGTGCAAGAAAGAAGCCAGAGGACTTCAGTGTGATGCCTGCAAAGAACACTTTTACGGGTTGGACATCACCAGTTGTAAGGCCTGTGACTGCGACGTGGCCGGATCCCTCCCTGGGACTGTGTGTGATGCTAAGACAGGCCAGTGCCTCTGTAAGCCCAGAGTTGGAGGGAGGCGGTGCAATGAATGTTTAGAAGGATACTTCCAACTCCAGCAAAATAATTCTTTCCTCTGTCTGCCTTGTAACTGTGATAAGACTGGGACAGTAAATGGCTCTCTGCTGTGTGACAAATCAACAGGACAATGTCCTTGCAAATTAGGAGTAACAGGTCTTCACTGTAATCAATGTGAGCCTCACAGGTACAATTTGACCAGTGGCAATTTTCAAGGCTGCCAGATGTGTGAGTGTGACTCCTTGGGGACATTACCTGGGACCATTTGTGACCCAATCAGTGGCCAGTGCCTGTGTTTGCCTAATCGTCAAGGAAGAAGGTGTAATCAGTGTCAACCAGGTAAGAGAGAAATGTGTTACATTTTCAGTGCACACTGACTTTCCTTTCATTATCCCATATTGGATGATTCTTCTTGGTTTTGGGGTTGGAATTTCTAAAAAATTTACTTCCAACAATGCTGGTGTGTTTATTATTATCATCAAACACAGATATAACTATTTAAAGTGTTCAAGATTATCTGGTATATCTGAGTTGCTATCTATATTAGGGGTGACCCTTTAGAGGAATCCCAGCCAATCAGACATTTTATAATTGAGACTTGCTTATATTTAATTTCTTAACTAGAAGTAAATCCCCTGCTAATAACTGGACAAAATCTAAACAAATAAAAGCAAGAATAAATTTTGCTTCCCAGAGAAAGGAAAACTTGAATTGATTATCTATACCATGCCAAATATTCAGACGATGAACAGATTTTCAGAATAAAGCTGACTGAATGTTTCTACTAAATGGGCTATATGTTCTGGCATCACCTAGGAGCATCTAGAATTATTTTTAAATGACACCAAGTTAATAAAATGGGCTACTGTTTAGTCCCACTTACCTTTCTTTCTGTGTGTTTGCCGACTGGGAGAAAGATGGACCCTATCCATGGCTTTCTCCTTGCCTCTACATGATCTAACCAAAACAATATGCTCTATTTATTATAGAGCCATCATAATGTCATGATAAATATACATATGTTTTAGCTATTTAACAGTTGTACTAAGGTTATTCTGTCCAACCAGCTCTGAGCTTTCTGAGCCTGTGAAAAGGAGCATGGTGTCAAGCAAAAGGGAGATTTGCCTGCCAGAAATAGGAAGGACGAAAACCCTGTTTTACAGGACAAGGAACCCAGATTAGGGGAACTGAACCATACCTTCCCTTCCACATTGGCCAGTGGGACCAGTAAGTCCAAAGGGACAGGATGGAATTGATGAATAGTTAGTTCTTTGCAAGATGTATCAGAATATAATTTGAACTATCTTCGATGTAACTGGGGAGCTATATTCTCACTGGCTATCTCACAAAACCCGATATGGAACAATGTAGTCAGGACTCAGAAACTAGAAATCTCCCATTGATACATATCCATTAATTTAATCATTCATTCCCATATTCTCATTCATTCTCATTCTCTCTCTTTCTGTGTAAGGACACAGTCTGCTGGTCTCTCTCTCTCTGCATGGTTAAGTGTCGATCTCATTACCATTCTAACAATACACAGAGACTTATTAGCTACTTTGTGGTTACAGTTTCAAGAAGGATACTCTAATTGACTCAGTTTTGTTAGCATGGCTATGTCTATGCCAATTGACTGTGGCCAGGAGTATCAGGATCACATAAAAGAAGCATGGCTTCTAGGGAGCACTACTTAAAGCAGGAGAAAGGTGGTAAGTATCCCAGAAAACAGGAAAATTACTGAGAGCTGTATGGATGGCCTGTGTGAGAGCTACAGTACCTTGCACTCTTTCAGCTTCTGAATATATATATATATATATTCATATATCCATATATATATGAATATATATATATATTAAGATGATACTTTTTATTTTAATTTTACTATTTATTAAGATCTCCAATTTTAGAAATATGGTGCTCAGTCTCCTGTAGAAATAACCATAATTTATTTTAAAAAACAGCCAAAGCTAATAGATCAAATGTTATATGCTGTTGAGTGATTAGCTATTGTAAAGCTTGTTGAGTGTTTTGCTCTGACTTAGGATACAGCTATGCAACAGAACAGGAGATCAACTGGCTCAAATCAGAATGGGAGGATCAGGGGTTCAGATCCTCCTGCAAGTTGATATATTCAGTAGGGGGAAAAAAAACCCAACAGATTTAATGAGTATATTTCTATTGGAGGGTTTTGACTACTAGAAATTCCCAAGAGGTTCCTATGAAACTAAAGAAAGGCAAATTTTTCAAGAAAGGAAATACAGGCAAAGCATATTATATAGGCTAACTGTGAAATAGATTTCGGTAGTCATATAGTCAATCTCTGAATATTTATTTAACCAAATAAAGGGATTATTGAGGAGGGATATAAGAAGCTGAATGCTTATATTCTACTGTAGAAAGACAATAGTCTAAATTTTCAAAGTTGAGATGGAACAATATATATGTGTTATTGAGAAATACAGAAATAAAAGCCAGAAGAAACATCACAGAGTGTTGAAGGTGGTGGCTCTGGGCAGGGAGGTTCCTGGGAGAAGGATGGAGCAGTGGGCTGATAATCTGTGAGCCTATAAATTCTATTTGAGCTTTAAAACTATGTGCATATAAATTTTGATAAAAATACAAATCAAATTTAAAAATGAAAATATTGGAAAGTCATACCTAACCTTTTTCTTCCTCCTGGTGGCCTCCTCTGTTTCTCTCTGGCCCCTTTCTTTTATGGGATTTATCTTATATAGTGTTCATTTTCTAGGGGAATAATACCATAGTGGCTATTTGCCTAAGCACAGTTGTCACAAAACTCCTCTCCAAAGGCTTATGGCAAACTGTCCTCTCTTTGAAGGAAAATGTAGAATGGAGATCATCACCATTAATGAAAATAATTATCTAATTTAAAGCATTCTTGTGTTTTATGTATTTGTGTAGTTGATTATTTCTCTTGTTAGATTTTCAATATCTTTAGAGCAAGGATTATCTTATTCAACTTGTGTAGCCACAATACTAATGTAATTCCTTGTACATTGCATGCATTCAGTAAATGGTTTGTTTAATTGAAGACACTGAGAAATAATCAGGAGTTTTAACAAGATTATTTGTGTTAAGGTTCTCCTGAGAAACCCAACCAAATAGGATGCAATAGGCATGTATATATATCAGTTGCACTGAGAATTTCCTTTGCACATCTCATTTACTGGATACCATTTCCTGAATCCTATGTATTCTTTTTTCATATGTTATATGTGTATTTGGTAGAGAACACACTTCAGTAGCTTGTGAGGAAGGTACAGGGAAGAATTAGTTTTTTTTCTTTTTTTTAGAATTTTGAATATCTGAAATTAACTTTATTCAACACTTAAAAAGTATCTGAAATTTTACCACTATATAGAATCATTTTCAATCAAAAAATTTATTTCAGCATTATCTTCTTGCATTGCCAAATAAGCATTTTCCTTTATCTTTTCTTTTTTTTCTTTCCTATATTCTAGAAGCATCTACCCTTTCTATATCTCTTATTTCTGAAAATTTCATGATGACATGCTTTTGTTAAATAAGTTTTCTGAGCACTCAGTGGGCCCTTATTTCTGTAGATTAGTATTCTTGTATCCTGAGAAAATCTATAAAATACCTTTATAACAATACCCGGACTAGTGTGTGACCAAACAACTGAACAACATCAAGCCTACCCAAGTTGACACATAAAATCAGCTACCCTAGGCAGCCTTCTATGTAATCCTTGCATCCACTGTGGTGCTTTGTCCCTACACCTGTTGAACCCAGACACTCTTTGGTTTGACTTCTAAAGAGAAAATTCGTTGCCTTCTCTCAAAATGCAAAGGGGAAAATCTGGTTGGAGAGGGGACTAGCTGCCCCTCACACCTGACTGGCTTCGGATATCTCTGGAGCCTTTCTTTCTAGAATTATACAACCTGAATCAGCTTACTGTTGGCCACTCCACTGCAAGTGCTTAGCTTTTACTTGCAAACATCTGCCATAGACCTCCATTTCCTCTTTTTTCTTTCTTTTATCTCATTTTTGGGGATTTGGGAAGGAAAAAGTTGTTTGATTCTGCTTAACTGAAATGTTGCCTTACAGCTCCCCTCAGATTCCTCTGTTTCCACAACACTGGTTTCTTCTGTCAGAATCAGTCCTGTTGCTTTTACCTTCAAATAGATCCAGAATTGGACCACTTTTTACTTCCCTCCCCATCCATTTTCAGCTTTCTCTTGGACTAGCAGACAAGCCTCCTAAATTTCCTTTGTCCTCTTTATTCTTCTCCAGTAACTTCTTTTTTAAAAAATTTTTAATGTTTTTATTTATTTTTGAGAGAGAGATAGAGACAGCATGAGCGGGGAAGGGTCAGAGAGTGAGGGAGACACAGAATCTGAAGACAGGCTCCAGGCTCTGAGCTAGCTGTCATCACAGAGCCCGATGCAGGGCTCAAACCCACCAACTGGTCAGATCATAAGCTGAGCCAAAGTCGGATGCTTAACCGACTAAGCCACCCAGGCGCCCCACCAGCCATTTCTTAATATGCAGTCAAAGGGATGCTGTGCAAACTTTAGTCAGACCGTATCAGTCTATCCTCCATTGCCTCCCCATCACTGTAGGTAAAAAACATGGCCCTCGTGAACTGTAAGGCCCAAGATCTTTCTCTGACCTTGTTTCCATGAGTCTTTAGATCATTTGTTTCTCTCCACCGTCAAGTCTAACTGCTGTTGTTCACGTTGTTCAGTGCTCCATCCTAGGGGCATCAGGAAGTGTCTCCCTGGTGGGTACTCTGTCTCTGTTGCCCTGATTAATAAATACTTACATTTAGTTATTACTCCAGCGGCATTATGTTCTTTTCGGCACAGGCACAGTGCAAGTCTGTGAGTGCTCCTTTGATGACATACAGAGAGGATGTGTTTTTTACCTTATGCAAAGGAGGAAAGAAACCAGTGGTCTAAGTACCTAATGGATTTTTTTTTTTTTTTTACAAAGCAGGTTATTCTGTACACATGTACAGAATGGAAAGGTCCTAATGTGACCTCCTTTTATTTTTTATTTTTTTTGATCCTACATTCTAGCTTCAGAAACTACTTTGAATTTTGTTTTCCAGTTTTAGTGTCTCTTGCTGTGAAATTTACATTGAGGAAGACAATCCTTATCCTGAAGTATCTTTATCATAAATGGATGTTTCACAGTAGCCAGCTCTGCAGTACACACATTAAAATGCACTACTGCAATCTGAAGCTTTCTTTCTACTTCTTTAAACACATCTCAGAGACCGAGATTAAATACCACAAGGGAGAAGCTCCACACCAGTGCGTGTGAGTAGTGGAGGGAGAAGTATGGGGTAG